TTTTTTTTTTTTTTTTTTTTTGGTACTGGGGATTAAACTTAGGTCCTCGTACTTGCAAGACAGGCAGCTGCCCCACTGAGCTAAATTCACAGCCCTCTGGCTTTGAATTTTTAAGAATTCAATTTAGTACAAAAAAATAAAATTTGAGGGCCGTGGATTTAGGTCAGAGGTTTCACCACCTACCTTGCAAGGACAAGGTCCTGAGTTTGATCCCCGGTACCCCCACCAAAAAAAAATTGACACTGAAGTACTTTTTTCAGGCTTGCAGAAATATTGTGCTGCTTCCCAAATGAAAATATTTCTTTTAAAGGAAAAGTTCCTCAAGAATTCTAATACTCAAGTCATTCATTTATTCAACAGCCATCCAATGAGGAAACAAAACTATGAAAATGAAAAGCTAAGAATCTGGGTGTGATGGAGCACACCTGTAATCCCAGCTCTTGGGAGGCTGAGGCAAGAGGATCACTGTGAGTTTGAGGCAGCCTGAACTACATAGCAAGACCCTGTTTCAAAAAACTGAAGAGAGAGAGAGAGAAGGAAAGAAAGAGAAACTAGATTAGAAAGAGAGTACAGGGTTTTAATGATATGGTTAACTTGCTAAGCACACATTAGAAGTCCCTACCTAAAAATTTCTTATTTAGTAAATAATAAATTCCTAGTTTTAGATCATTGCTAGTGTATGTGGTACCAACATAATGGATTTATAAACATATTCAGTCCTAATTTCCCAGAACCCATGAATATGTCTTGCTAAGTGCTAAAAGGTTGCAAAGAAGATGAAGGTTGCTAATCAACTAAATTTAAAATACAACTATTCTGGCTAGATGTGGTAGTCCATACTTTATAATCCCTGCCATCAGGAGGCTAAAGCAAGAGGATCACAAGTTCTGGGCCAGCCTGTATCATTTAGTGAGACCATGTCTCAAAATAAAATTTACGCTGGGGATGTAGCTTAGTGGCACTCTGCCTGCCTGGCAAGCTGCAAGGTCCTGAGTTTGATTCCTGGTACCACAAAAATAAATAAAAAAAAACTAAGATTTAAAAAACAAAAGTGGG